AGGCTGCTTTGGGGTTCAGAACTGGCCTGTAACTCTGCACAGACTTCCTCTTTTTGCACCTCAACCTGCGTGTTTGAGCGACTCGCCCCCAAAGCAGCCAGTTTTCGGCTCACTGTGATGAAAATATGCTGTTCACTTAGACAAAGCGAGCACACAAGGCTCTATACGATTATTAGAAAATTCAGAATGTTTTATTGTTACTAGTATTTCTAACAGTGGCAGTCCTGAAATCAGGGGGTGCTGCAGCCCCCTCAGCACCTCGTCTTCTCGCGTCCCTATTGACTACTACGAGGTCTTGGTCTTGACTCGGACTCGATGCGTCCAGTTCTCAGCCCTGACTCGGACTCACCTCTAGTGGTCTTCGCTACACCAATCTTGAGCAGGTACCAAGGACCATAAAACCGGAACCTTCGACACAGAACGGAAGGAAAAAAACGCAGCTCCGGTGCCAAAGGTTCCCACAGTTGACTACAAACTACAAAACAGACGCACAAACATATTCGCACGGATGCATTCGCACAGGCTCACTCAGTCATCTGCAGAAAGTGCGTGCACACACACTCGTGCCCTGGAGGGTGGGCTCTGTGGATAATGAACAACAGATTTGATATGCTGAAAGGACAGAAGAAAGCAATTAGCAGGGATGGCATTTCTCCACTGACTCCATGGGTGTGCTGTGGTGGTGTAGGGGGCACACACACCCACCCCCATCTGCCCACTCTGACCCATCTGTTCAGCCCTACACATACACACACAGACAAAAACATACCTTCGGGAACATAAGCAGAGAGAGTGTGTGTGTGTGTGTGTGTGTGTGTGTGTATATATATATATATCAGGAAGGACAGAAGAAGCAGAGTGAAACAGGAGTGTGTGTGTAAGATATGAGACTCGGGGGTCCTGTGGGGGAAAAAAGGAGTGAGGATGATAAAAAACACAACAGGAGAGCATCAGACGACAAAAAATGAGAAAACAACAGGAGGGGTGAGAGAGAAGGAGAAATAAAGGTGAAGGAAACAGATGTGTAGTATATGTGATATGCAGCTACGCTACCCTTCAAAAGTTTGGAATCACTGTTGTTGTACTGGAAAATCAGCTGCACAGCATTTGTCACATGAGTGTAATGAATCAATACGGCCTGGCATTACAGTGATTTTAGCACTTGTTGGGATTATATTAGGCACAACAAATGCCTACAGTTGGAGTAAAACCCCCTCGCCTGAGATAAAATCACTGTAATGCATGGCCTCAAGCGGCATTTGCTTTTATAAACAGGCAGACAGCACAAAAGATGATAGAATACTATTTTTTTTTAAATAAAAAAGATATTATTAATAAAAACTCAGATAAAATTATTCTGCTATTACATGCAGGTCCTTTAGAATACGTTATTGTTTCCAAGCAATTGCTCAGTGCTGAAATAGGACAAAAACATGGTCACCAATCATTATATACATTTCATTACTTCGTCATATAATGATGAAGGTATCATAGAACGGCACTGTTTAACGCAGAAATCTTCCCTGTAGGCATTTTCTTCATCACCAAATTACCACTGCAACTACAACGAGTGTGTTTACATACACTCAATAATCAGATCATAATCAGATTTCTGCTGTTATCTGATTATTGAAATAGTCATGTAAACAGCACACTCTGATTTCTTAGATCAGAGTAAGGTCTAGAAATCTGATAAAGAGGCTGGATTTAAGCTCAGTAAACAGATTTCTCAGTGCTGTGAACTCTTACTCTGATTTCTTTCAGATTTCTCAGTCTGAGCATGTGTGAAAACAGATGGCGGTACCGTAAATAAGCGAGCAGCGTCGCCGCGAGACGCAGCAAAACACTTTTGGAGCGACACTGAAACCAAATACATGATTGATGAAATGAAGGATTTAAATGTTCTTCATCTTCTAGATGATGTTTGTTCATATTTTCAGGTAAAGTGACTCGTTTTAAAAAAAGCCACAGCATGAAGTTTGAGTTTTACGTTACGTTTACATCGCGTCGTCTGTGAGTTTATTGGCTGGTTGTAAAGCAGAAATCTGATTACTGTCTGACTCATGTAGATTATCTGATTACTCAAGTGCATGTAAACGCGGTGATCGGATTACTGACAAAATCAGATTTTCTGCAGTTATCAGATTATTAGGTGCAGGTAAACACACTCTGTCTTAATTTCCTTTAGCGCCTCTATGAGATTTCTAGTCTTATGTTAGCATAAAGCCAATAGTACTGTACATTATTTTGCTTGTGATATTAATGTTGTTTAGCCTGTTAGCTAACTTTTAGCCACTAGCTCGCTGATCAGCCTAGTTCTAGTTAAGTCAGCCTCTCAGTCTAAACAGAACTGGGTTCTTACTTCATCAGTACACATAGTGGAGCAGTATTAAAGTCAAAGACTATTCCAATCACAGCATAAAGATTTTTCAGGAAACTGAATAAGATATTTTAAGTAATACAGAGTTAAACTGTGGAGGGGTGATCACAGGTGTGCACAAGTTACTGTTTTTAAAAAGTGCCATTATATGGGACTCTTATTATGACAACAGTAGTGTTTGCGGCACTGTGCTATGCAATCGTCATTCAATCAGAGCCAGTTTAAGGCTCAACAGAAATTCTCTAATCCTGTGTGAAGAAGTATTAGATAAATCTGTGTTCACCTTACGTTCGTCTGATAACTCGTTTCATAACTCGGACATGGTGCTGTGTCACGAACGACTTCACTAAGGTAGATTAAGCGAGCTCTCCAGCTAGCTCTAAATCAGAGGTCACTAACAGGCAGACCGCGGTCCCAGTCCAGACCCAGACGCTGTCCTATGCGGACCTGGACCTATAACCGATAAACTATGGAGAATTATTTATTTCCGCTGGGGTGGTCCTGTTTTAATCAGCGTAGCTTTTCTAGCATTTACGGTAGTTTTAGCGGCCCGGGAGTCTCACAGACCAATCACATACGTTGTACATATCACGTGACGCTACTCAGCCAATCAGATCTGTGCATTACGATGAGCACTGAGACTCGAGTGAGTGACGCACACATAGGGGAGGGACAAGGCGAGAAACAGCAGTCAGAGAAGAAAGTGAGTCAGAGGGAGGTTATTTCACATGGTCTAAAAAGAGAAAACTGAAAATATATAAATAAATAAATAAATATTGTTGAAATATGACTGAATTGGACTTTATTTGATTTGATATTCAGTTGTTGACTGTATAAGATGTTGATATACCTACTAGGTTACTTCAGTAAACAGTAAATGGCACTGAATCATAACGTTAGACATTATGATGTTCCGGATCTTTGCTTGAGGAAATTTTCTCAAACTGGACCTTATTGAATTTTAATCAAAGACCCCTGATCCAAGTGATTAAAATCAGTGATTAAGATGAATTCTCCTCACATACACACTCACAAATGTCTGCAGTGACTCAGAATCATATTTGAGTTAGAATAAAATAAATTTGCTCTCGAGAATGTAAAAACAAGAAAAAACAACTTATTCTGCAGCTCACGCCAAATAATCGAATAACTTCAGCATTATAGCTCCCGAGCCTGCTAACGTAGAAACACAGAAACACAGAAACTTTAACTTTACAAAGTGATTATTCTAAATAACAGTGATTGACACATCAATCCATTATTCCAGCCAACATTCTGGTTCACTTTTTGGACATGAAGTAGTGTTGAGTGACTTCTTCACCTTCTACGGTAAACAATAGCAATACTGCTATTTGGCAAGTGAAATGATCTTAAATCTACTAGATAAATCTAATATTTATCATGTTGGGATTGTTGTTAGCTTATTATAATAGTACTTACATTATTTCACGTTGATTGTGTACTTGATTTTAGTGATCTCACTATAGTGGCAGATAATTTGGCTTGTTTTGATCAAATTTCTTACAAACATGCAAAGCGATTCGCCAATATAGTGAGATCAATTTACTAAAATCACTTAAAACAAGTAAAAACTGTTTAGAAATAAGTATTATATATATTGACAACATTAAAGATCATTTCACTTACTAATATGTCTCATTTTGCAGTATAAATACACTGCGAAAAATGTTTTTTTGTCAGGTGAAATGATCTTAAATATAGTCAATCTAATATTTGCCATATTGAGATGGTTGTGCACTTATTATAGGATTATCTTGCTTATTTCTAGACATTTTTTCACTTGTTTTAAGCAATTTTAGCAAGTAAAATTATCTCACTATACTGACAGATAATGCTGCTGGTTTCAAACACATTTCTTAAAACATGCAAAACTATCTGAGATCATTTTACTGAATAAAATTACTTAAAACAAGTATCTAATCTTAGATTTATTGACTATATTTAAGATAATTTTACTGCACAAGACAGCATTTTTGCAGAGTAAGGCTGCTTAAACAACAGCTGTGTTATCTAGAGTGATGGAGCTGTAAGCAAAACGCTTAGGATGTTGGAGTTGGAGCAGCATCTCTGATCCAGAACTAATCATCCAACATCAGTACCTGACCTTACTAATGCTTCTGCGGCTGAACGCAATCAGATCCTCACAGCAATCTAGTGTAAATACCCTGTGTAATACCCTTCATTTCAGAAGAAACGCTGGATGAGCAGGTGCCTCCAAACTTCTGGACAGACAGTGTACATTAGAGATTAATGGATAAAGCCATTACTGTCATTACATGTGGAGAGACAAGTGATGAGTAAACACTGAAACTCAATTCCAGCCACAGATATAAAACTCTCCCTCGGTCCTCATCACACTGCTGTCGAACTGAGAACAAATCTTACATGTTTTACAAATATGAGCCAGAGGAAAATCACAACGCTCCCTCAGAATCTTAATATCCACAATAATATCGAACATCAGCAGGAAATGAGAGTGTCACTCAGTCACAGCACACCCACCACTTCAGACCAGACTGCACCACCGGCTGGAGGATACTGACAAACACAATGGACGAAATAGAAAAGTGGGATTAGAAGGAAAAAATAAGGCTCCCACCTTTTCCTGCCAGTGAAGGATTCCGATAATGACCAGGATGAAGACACACACACCAATCAGAGCGATGGCCGTCAGCAGAACGATATTACTGGGGGTCAAGTACAGCTTAGCACTCCAGCTGGAAAGAGAGAGAGAGAGAGAGAGAGAGAAATTTGAGACAGGTATAAAAGTATAGAAGACATAAAAGACAAAACATAACCACACAAATTAGTCAAACCACTGAGAAGCAATTAAAGTAGTGCCTCAGTACACTGTTAAAAATGACAGGTCAGCTCAACTCAAAATGATTTAGTAACTGATTACATGGCTTTTCTTGAGTCGACTCAACTTGAGGACACCAGAGTTCACACAACTCAAACTTCTTAGTTGAGTCAAAAGTTCTCTTGATGTTTCAGTTCTGAATCTCAGTTTGGTAAATAAAACGACGTGTTTTTATACTCAACTTCCCCACCAGGCAGGACTCTCTCCATCACACCGTCCTGCTGGACATTTTCCCTCTTGGGTTCACACTTATGGATGGCTGTGGCATCACTGGGGCTCAAACTCACAACCTCCTGTTGGGGTGACGGTTCAGTCCACCGCACCATCAGGAACTCATGAAGCAGCTCAGATTTTGTGTCCATAAATGTTTAATATACTGGAGAGAATGTTTATTGTTTTATCTTTAAAACATGGCGTCGTCTCATGTGGTGCAGCTGTCTAATGATTCATCCCAACATCAGGAGGTTGTGAGTTTGAATCCCAGCAGCTGTCCACATCTGAAAGCCCAAGAAGAAAGTATGCCAGATGGGACTGTGATAGAAGGAGCGCCAGCTAGTGGGGGAACTAAGTAAAAAACATGAATTTATCTAACGGAGATGCAGCTAGAAACAGTAGCTGGGAGAACTTTTGACTCAACTAAGAAGTTTGAGTTGGGTGAACTCTGGTGTCCTCAAGTTCAGGCAACACAAGAAAAGCCAAGTAATCAGTTGCTATTTTAAGTTGAGCTGACTTCAGTTTTTAAAGTGTAGGAAGTGCGAGAAAACAGACATTCACAAGTCACTTCATGTGAGCCTAAATTGAGTCTCGGGTCTTTGGGGTGCGAGTCTGAGTCGTGTCTTTCGTCGAGAATTTCGGTCTTGTTATTAGCTGCAGGTTCGACATGGCTTTACATACAGACCCTTTCATTACAGGACAAACATAAAGGGGCTGAACAGTTGCTTAGTCTATAGTTTGGATGCTTGTTAGGTAGCATAATAGTGAATCTAGCTGAAATTTCATATTAAAAAATCTCAATGAATCTGTGAGCCAGAGAAATATTAATGTTGTGCTGTAACCCAAACTGGCCGCTGTTTCCTCAAAATATGCAAAAAATTTCAGCAGTGAAATACAGGCATTTGTAGTAGTCCTTGGAGTATTACATGAATACCTGAAATACTCTAAATGAAAACGTCCCCAGGAGCTCAGTCTTTTAAACCTACCTATCTGCTTGAATTCGACACCTGGTGTCATGTTCATTAACGCTTGGGCTCAGTTTCTGAGCTGCTGAGCTGAGGCCGATAACTGTTACAGAAGCGTTTATAGTGGCTAAACAGCTGAAATGCAGTCAGTGTGTTTGGTGATACAGCTGGTGTGGAATTGTTTAGAATTGTGTAGAACTGAGGTGTAACTGCTGTCCCATGTATTGTTGTCGGGGTAGGAGAGTCAGAGCACACATTACGTTGCAGTGCATGCTGGGGATTGTAGTGCAGTGCACTGTGAAATGTGCTAATATTAATAAAATTGAAATTAAAATTCTTTCGCAGGCCTAATAGTATTGTGTCACGGGCCTGATCTGGCCTGCAGGCCTTGTGTTTGACACATGGGTCTTAATGGAACGTGATCAGTCACTAAGCAATTAAAACATCAGCTCAATCAGCTGTTGCTATTTTTTTTTCTTTCATTTGTGTGCACAGCTTTGTTCTGCCCTTCAGACTGCAGTTATTTTTAATAATGAACACCTCGCTACTTGAAGCCGCATCGGACCTTATTTTTCTTGAATATGTTAAACCAGGAATGCTTTAACCTTAAAGCTGTGCTTTTCTATTGCTGTGCTAATACTGTACTTGATACAGCAAAAACAAAGCTGGAGTGAAATCAATAAACAGGGAAAAGCGCTGAGGACACAAAACAATGTGTGTCTGCACATCCTGCCTTAGTGAGCTTTAAAGTGTCTGTACAAAACACCTGAGAGAGCTAAATATAATCTGGCCTGACACACGGTTTGACAAAATGAGTCACGCTCACAAACATTAGTGGGATAAAGAGAGCTTCTTATAAAGATATGAAAAAGAACAGAGAGAGAGAGAGAGAGAGAGAGAGAGAGAGAGAGAGAGAGACAGAGAGGGAGAGAGTGAGAAGGAGAGAGAAGGAGAGAGAGAGGAGAGAGAGAGAGAGAAGGAGAGAGTGAGAAGGAGAGAGAGAGAGAGAGAGAGAGAGAGAGAGAGGGAGAGAGAAGGAGAGAGTGAGAAGGAGAGAGAGAGAGAGAGGGAGAGAGAGGGAGAGTGAGAGAGAGAGAGAGAGGGAGAGAGTGAGAAGGAGAGAGAGGGAGAGAGAGAGAGAGACAGAGAGAGAGAGAGAGAGGGAGAGAGGGAGAGAGAGAGTGAGAGGAGAGAGAGAGAGGGAGAGAGTGAGAAGGAGAGAGATAGAGAGGGAGAGAGTGAGAAGGAGAGAGAGAGAGAAGGAGAGAGAGGCAGAGAGTGAGAAGGAGAGAGAGAGAGGGAGAGAGGAAGGAGAGAGAGAGGGAGAGAGTGAGAAGGAGAGAGAGGGAGAGAGAGGGAGAGAGAGAGATAGAGAGAGAGAGAGAGAGAGAGAGAGAGAGAGGGATAGAGAAGGAGAGAGTGAGAAGGAGAGTGAGAAGGAGAGAGAGAGAGAGAGAGAGAGAGAGAGAGAGACAGAGACTTCTGTTTTCTCCTTATAAAGCAGACGATGGATCCCAGGAGACTATTCCATGTCAAGTCCATGTTTATGATCCAGACTGGGAGACAACTTCATTAACTCTCTCCACTGGAGCCGAGAAACACATTAAATATTGAAGTGGAGCAGCCTGGCGTGGGAGAGGTGCACTAACGAATGGCGCTCTTAATTAACATTAATGGAAATGAATGTATAGTTAATGTTGTAGAAAAAGATTTGAGTCTAAGTCGAGTCTCGAGTCTCTGAGGTGCGAGTCCAAGTCAAGTGTTGAGTTTCTGGGCAGAGAGATCAAATAGAGTCTCAATTCTCTCACAATGTGAGTACTAATCAAAACACGAGTCTCAAATCTCTGACATGCGAGTCTGAGTCGAGTCTCAAATCTCTGACATGCGAGTCTGAGTCGAGTCTCAAATCTCTGGCATGCGAGTCTGAGAAAGTCTCAAATCTCTGATTTGCGAGTCTGAGTTGAGTCTCAAATCTCTGACATGCGAGTCTGAGTTGAGTCTCAAATCTCTGGCATGTGAGTCTGAGTCGAGTCTTGATTCTCTGGCATGTGAGTCTGAGTCGAGTCTTGATTCTCTGGCATGTGAGTCTGTGCTAAAGCTTGATTCCCTCGGGTGCGAGTCTGAGTTGAGTCCATGTCGGGATGTGAGTCTCTAAGGAGCAAGTCTGAGTCAAATCTTGAATATTTAAGCTGCAAGTCCAAGTCAAGTCTTGAGTCTCTAAGGTACGAGTCTAAGTTGAGTCTCGAGTCTCTGAGGTGCAAGTCTGTGCCAAGTCTCAAATCTCTGAGTTGCGAGTCCGAGTCGAGTCTCGAGTGCCTGAGCTGTATGTCTGAGTCAAGTTTCTGAAGTGCGAGTCTGAGTGAAGTCTCGAGTTTCTGAGGGGTCAAGTCTCAAATCTCGGAGATGTGAGCCCAAGTCAAAATCTCAAGTCAATTAAGTGCGAGTCTGAGTCAAATCTCTGAGGTATGAGTTTGAGTCGTGTCTCGAGTCTCTAAAGTGAGAGTCTGAGTCAATTCTCGAATATCTGAACGACAAGTCTGAGTCGAGCCTTGAGCCTATGAGGTGTGAGTCTGAGTCGAGTCTCGAATATCTAAGGTGCAAGTCTAATTCAAGTCAGGGTCGAGTCTCAAGTTTGTGAGGGGTCAAGTCTCAAAGGCCATTGGGACGTGACTCCAAGTCAAGTCTCAAGTCTCTGAAGAGCGAGTCTGAGTCAAATCTCCAATCTCTGAGATATGAGTCTAAGTTAAGTGTCCGGTCTATGAAGTGTGAGTCTGAGTTGAGTCTCAAATCTCTGACCCGTGAGTCCAAGTTGAGTCTTGAGTTTCTGGTGTTCGAATTTAAGTTGAGTCTTGATCCTCTGGCATATGAGTCTGAGTCAGTCTTGATTCTCTGGGGTGTGAGTTCGAGTAGAGTCTTGCATTCCTGGGCCATGAGTCCAACACGAGACTCGAGTCTGTGAGCTGCAAGTCTGAGTCAAGTCACGAGTGTCTGAGCTGCGACTCCGAGTTGCGTCTCGAGTCACGGGGTTGCAAGTCTGCGAGTTGTGCAGCAAAAGAAAAGAGGCAACTTAAAATGGCTTCTTACTGTGTAGTTTATGTAGCATGTACGCTAGGTAGCGTTCCAAAACTACATGCTAGCTAAATGTTTTGGATTGGCTTTGAGTCATTATTTGAGGCAGCACTGAGTCGAGCCACTGTGTACTGTAGGAGGAGGGCACTGCAGTAATTACTGCACATGCCTGCAGCAAAACATTGAGGCAAAACAAAGCATTAAGGTTAGCAGTCCTACACTCCCTACAGAAGATGGTTCTTCAAGGGTTCTTTAGTAAAGAAGATGGTTCTATATAGAAACATGAACACTCAAAGAACTATTTGCATGATTAAAGGGTTCTTTGCATCAGGGAAATTCTTCAGAATGTGTTTTATACGGTTCTGTATAGCACAAAAAAGGGTTCTTCCATTGTTACGATGTTAAGCCTGTAACAACGGAAGAACCCTTTTCTTTAATAAAGAACCCCTGGAGAACCGTCTTTTTTAAGAGTGTAATTTTATTCTGTATTTTTTTCTCAGGCTGAAATTTCACACTGCATAAACACAGGACTGTGTGCGTGCATTGTGTTTATACCTGCGTGGATCGTAGTTTGGATACGGAATGACGATGAGCTGGGAGTTGGGAATGATTGCGGTCCATTCCTGTTTCCTCATGTCCTGCGAAGGGGGGGTGGGGTGGGGGGGGGGTTGGGGGTGAGAAGAGAAATAACAAAGAACAAAATCACAGATGATACTATGGAAACAACAGCCTTTCCTCTTGCTGAGCGTATTGTCTCCGTGGTAACCTCCCTCACTGTTCATCATCTCCACTCCGAGCTCTTCCCGGCAGCAGATCGCTCTGACAGACGGGATTCGTTTAGAGGTTTAAATCTCGGACCACGCTACGGTTCCATTCCATCATGATTTTTCAGGAACATTTATTCATCTTTATTTATTTTTATAAGGGTCATTCTACGGAAACGTCCATTTTTGTGTCCCCAGCGTTTACAGATATAGTACACTTGAAAAACATGTTAGGGTTACAATTTATTTATATTTTAAAATAAAACTTAATAATAAAAATAAAAGTTATTTTAACAGTTACACCCTCTTGAGCCTCAATTTAGAAATATTGGTTTTTAAATCAATCATACAGAATTCCAAGCACCACAGAAGAGCTCGTCTTCACAGTCATATGTGAAGGCTGAGGCCATATTTTGAGATGTTTTTCTGCTATTTTAACTAAAATAATCTATACATGACTATGAAATGTATAAATAAATGACATAAAGAAAACAAATGCCAAATAAATATTATAAAATATATAACGAAAGTTCCCCAGGAGTCGTGTCACTGGTGTTACCGTGTAAGAAATATCTCTTATTTTGAAATAAAAGTCACTCTGATGACATCACTTGACTTCCTTTTACCTGTTTTCTGAGGATCTATGAAGAAAAGCACATGGTGAGTCCACTGTGTCTTTCAGTTATCAGAGATTTTCTCATTTAGCTCATGATTTCATATGGAGCTTTTAGCTGAAGTCACTGGTGTGACCGACTTTATTCTGAGGTAACTGTGAAAAAATAGAATACAAATGGATTAAATTACATACTTTAGTGGATATTCCATGATTGACAACATGTGGTTTGATGCTCTGTAGGCGTTATTTTGTAAAATGCATGCTTCATTAAAATGTCTCTGGTGTTTCCTTTATTATGTGCAACACCAGTGAGGATCGGTAACACCAGTGACTCCTATGGACAGACAGAAAAGTGGACGTTTCTGTAGAATGACCCATATAGGAGGCTACACATGATTATATATTTTACAGGCTGCAGTGAATCAACAAAGCTGATCAGTCATGGGCCACTCGGACAGACTGTAGTAGTATTACCATTTCTTGATGTACGCTCTTAAAAAGATGGCTCTTCAAGGGTTCTTCAGTAAAGAAAATGGTTCTATATAGAACCATAAACACTCAAAGACCCTTCTGAATGACTAAAGCGTTCTTTGCATCGTGAATGGTTCTTCAGATTGATGGAGAATGTGCTGCAGATGGTTCTATACAGAACCTTTTTGAAAAGGGGTCTTCTGTTGTTTACAATGTCAAGCTTGTAACAATAGAAGAACCCTTATTGGTGCTATATAGAACCATTTTCAAAAAAGTTGCTATTAAGAAACATCTACAGCACATTCTCCATCAATCTGAAGAACCATTCACGATGTAAAGAACCCTTTAGTCATGCAAAGGGTTCTTTGAGTGTTCACGATTCTATATAGAACCGTTTTCTTTTGTAAAGAACCCTTGAAGAAGATCTTTTTAAGTGTGCAGTGAAATAATAGAAGCCGTTTCTCCAGCTACACAGCGTGTATTATTACAGTCTATCAGAATGAGAGGATGAGATGAATATTATAGATCATTACCAGGCAAATAAGGTTCTCTCTATTGTTGCACGTTCTTGTGTTTAAGAACCAAGAGATGTGTTGGGTTTTAGTTAGAGGTTTTTACATCCTTTAATCCACAGAAGGAAGGACAGAAAGACTACTGCGGCCATCTAAGGCCTTGTTCAGACTGCCAGTCCAAGCCTGTTTTTTGGGAAATCCAGATTGTAACCAGATTGATTGTTGATAGTGTGGACACAGTAAAAAAAAACACATGAAATCTGATTTTTGCAAATCAGATCTAAACCACATTTGGAGGTGATTTGAAATGAAGGAAATTATTCTAATGAGATTTTAATGACTAAAAAATCCCTCACAGAAAGGTTTTACATGAAATGGTCAAAATACACTGCCTGGTGCCTCAGATATTGTTCTGGCATCAAAATGTATTTTTCTAATATGTTCATGGCAGACTCAGAAGACTCGTATAGGTTCACTGGTGGTTTTGGATAGTAAATAAAATGTCTATATTTGTGTTGTAGTCATGGCGACCCCTGGTTCCTATCACCACCACTGTAAAGACATCTGAACCATTTCACACCAAACCACTCTGAATCTCTCTGTTTACATCTCACACACTGAATGATGCAGAAAACTTTGGCAGAATTTCCCTTTTAAGAATCAAAACCCTCAGTTTTGATGATTCAGTGAGTTGATGAGAGGTTAGTAACGTTAGCTGAGGTAACAGATTAGGATGTAACTGACAGTAAAGACTGTAGACTGACCGCCCTTTTAGTGTCTGTGTTTACATGCAAAGATTTCTGCCAATCTGACCGAATACATTCTGATTATAGATTCAGACTGAGGTGTTTATCTCACTCTACTCAACAATCTGATGAAAAATCAGTTTACAAAGATTCAAAACCGCGTAGTGCAGACGTTACCATGACAACAAGCATCACGCGAGTGAGATGAGCAGCAGTGAGCAGTGCTTGTGTTTTTAACTGCTTTAAAATGATGTCAGACTCAGGAAAACGTCCTTCACATGTCCTTATTAAAGAAGGCCGAGAGGAAGACGTCGTGTTCTGAGACACATAAGCTGGACGTCCGTCCCACCGCCGTCTTTTAAAGATCAGAGCATAAACTTCGTCTCCTCTGCAGACCAGTTTCTGCTCCGCCATGTTGAACGGTATAAACTTTCACTATGACGCGACGAACATGATCAGAACGTACTTAAACTTTCCAATAGGGAATGTAATCAGATACAGGCGTTTACACGGATATTATTCTTCTATTTAACGGATTATTTACAGGATTACCCACCTCGATCAATCGGATAGAAACTGTATTCTGACTGGACTCAATTGGACTAGACTATTCCGACTGAGGTGTTTACATGGACGTGTTCTATTCTGATTGAGCTATTGGTCGGTTTATTCACGGATTATTAGGCTGCATGTAAACGTGGGCTACTGAGTCCGAATTGAGTCAGAAAGGGTTACGGAATCGGCAGACTGGGACTCGATTCCTCAACGAGGCAAGCGCACCAAGCCATACCAACAGGAGTCCTTAGGTAAAACTCCTAACTCTGCACTGCCCAACTCCACAGCATGTAAACATATATTAATGTCTATGTGGCCTCAGAGCTTTTAACAAATTATACAGAGCTCTCTATTGATTATTAGAATCAGGTTGACAGGAATGCTGTTGGTACTAGTGTTGCTTCACTCAAGATCGGTGTTGAAACCATAAATCAATGGTCTCAGTAGGGCAGAACAATTTGGGGAAAATATCTAATTGCGATTATTTTCAGTAAATTGTGGTTCAGACCTGTTTTGTTTGGCCAGAAGACCAGATTATCCACCTTTTCTTGTATGAGGCTTGCGGAGCCTTTCCGATAGGGAATGTAATCAGATACAGGCTATTATTCTTCTATTTAACAGATTATTTACAGGATTACCCACCTCGTTCAGTCACATACCAGAGTATTCAGAGTAGCCTCAATCAGACTAGACCATTCTGACTGAGGTGTACACATGGACGTGTTCTATTCTGACTGAGCTATTATTAACAGATTATTAGGCTTCTCGTAAACGTGGCTACTGTAAACGTCAAGCCACATATTATCTACTATGGATTTGTAGTCTAGGTGTAATAAAGTGCAGTAGTTTGTCATCACTGCTGTCGACTTGGCAGCCCTACTGTTCACATAGCACTTATTAGCAGAAGCTTCTTTGTAAGCTTTCCACACACGAACTCACAGCTCTATCAATTACAAAGGTAATCTTCCCTCTTCAGGTTGTTTCCAGACAGCAATTAGCAGCAAACACTGAATTCATCTTTCTCGGGATCCTCCGGGGGGCAGATTTTAATTTACGACGACACATCTATCACAAAGCTGCGTTATGTTCCTGCGCCACTTTAACGGGCGCGCGGGCTTCGCTGAAGCTCTGATGCTATTTTAGGAGTGTGTGGACAGAGTGGCTGGTAAATGGAATAGATGAGGCGTTCTGCAGCTGCGTGGGGAGAGTTAACCTACTGCCCACTGATGGGGTCAACTGTGGTCACTACCAGAGGGAGAACTAGACACAGAACCGACCAATCACAGAGCAGAAGAGGAGAGAAGAGGAGATGTGAAAAAGAAAAGCAGAGGGGAAAAAGAATGAGAGGAGAGTAAATAATGAGTGAAGAGAGGAAAGGAGAGGAACAGATGACGGAATATGGGATGAGAGGAGAGGAACGGAGGAAGGAGAGGAAAGAAGAAGCAGCAGAAGAGAAGAGAAGGTAAAAGAACAGAAGACGAAAGAAGGAAGGTAGAGAAGAGACAAAAAGGAGAGGAGATGAAATAAAAAAAATAATGTAATAACAGAAGCAGAGGAAAAAAGAAAGGAAAGACAGAAGAGGAAAAAAGGAGATGAGAAGAAAAATGAGGAGGAAAGAAAGAGTGGAGAGGACAGAAAGGGGTGAAGAGATGAGCAAGTAAAAGGGGAGGAAAGGAAAAGAGAGGAAGAAAAGGAAAGGAAGAGAAGATGGAAGAAGAAAAGCAGAGAAGGGAAAGGTGAAGATTATTGACAAGATGATTAAAATGGAATAAAAAAGGAGAGAGGAGAAGAAATAAAAGCGAGCAAATAATGAGATGAAAGTAGCAAGTAAAGTGAGAAGAGAAGAAAGGAAAGGATAAGAGACGAGATGAAAGGAGAAAACAGGAAAAGAGAAAAGAAGAGAGATGAGAAAAGGAAAAGAGAAAAGAAGAGAAGAGAGGAAAGGAGAAGACAAGAAAGGAGAAAAGAAGAGAAGAAAGGAGAAGAGAGGAGAAACGAAGAGAAGAGAGGAAAGGAGAAGAGAAGAGAAGAGAAGAGAGGAGAAACGAAGAGAAGAGAGGAAAGAAGAAAAGAAGAGAAGAGAGGAAAGAAGAAAAGAAGAGAAGAGAAGAGAGGAGAAGAGAAGAGAAGAGAGGAGAAACGAAGAGAAGAGAGGAACGGAGAAAAGAAGAGAGGAAAAAAGAAGAGAGGAAAGAAGAAGAGAAGAAAATGAAAGAGAAGAGACAAAAAATTGAAGAGAAGCGAAAAAGAAGAGAAAAGAAGAAAATGGAAGAGAATAGAAGAAAGGAAAAGAGAAAAGAGAAGAAAAAAGAGAAGAAACTGGAGGAGAAGAGGAAAGAACAATACAGGAAAGAAGGAGAGAAAGAAGCAGAAAAGAAGGAGGTGAAAGAGCTGAAGGAAGGAAAAGAATGAGAGGAGACTAAGAAAGGTCAGGAAATCAGGAGATGGGTAAGATATACAATGAATATGTGGGAAATATATAAAGACAGGAGAAGAAAGAAAAGGAGGGAAAAAGAGGGGATGGGAAAGGAGAGGAAGAAAGAGGAGAAAAGGATAGAGGAAAGGAGAAGTGTAGGAGGTCGGCTGGATTCTGTATCGTTCCCCACCCACCTATTTAGTGCTGTTTTCCACTCCGCTGAGAGAGATTTAATTGGCAGATTTCACCAATTAAATAAAAAAAGACGCGGTAAATTCGCCCTGAAGACGCGACCCCTGTTTTATATAACCGCGTTCTGCTCGTCTCCGCCAGCTGAACCTGCACTGCAATAAAAACACCAACTGCTTCACTTTCAGCCAAAACTCGGCGCTCACAGCCTCCTTTACAGGCCCAATTTCAGCCGGAAACCGACGAAGAAATCAAACAATCAGACGCTTTCCTCGTGGCGCGGCAGCGTGAAGGCTTTCAAAACGACTCCTCCAATTAGAAACAGGATCACCTGGATAGCGAGAGCCTCAGAAAGGAGGATGAAACGAGGGTGGAAAAAGAAAAAGGCACTCTTTCAGTCCTCTTATTCTGAAGAGGCAGCGCCAAAGAGAAGCAGCTACAATTACAGGTGTGTTGTCTAGAAACGGTTATCTGAGGTGTTTGTGTGAGTCGTATGAACAGCGAGCATAATCGACCGCGCGTACTTGCTTCTTTAGCAGCTTCACATCTTTATTCCTTCTTTCTCTTTTTCCTTTCAGCTCATGTAGGAGTTAGAATGTTAGAATCAACAGCGCTGAATGCAGAAGCTCATGCACACAGCAGCAGGGGAGTGTGTGTGTGTTTGTTTTCATATACTGTCAGGACAAAAATGTCCTCACATAGCAAAAAACCCAGAAAAAAACAAGGTTAACTTACAGGAACTACATTATAATACATGTGCAGAGACCACCCTTCATTTAATTTCCAGTCAAAACAGCCACTCTGTACAAGTTATTCATTTCTAAGCATTAAAAAATACTAATTAATATCATATTTTTCAGTGTTTAATGTGTCAATTCTTCCCCTTTATTCCAGCTTCCATTCTTTTCAGGAGACTCACTTTCAGTTCCTCAAAGAATCTGCAGACACACCTCCAAAGTTCAGTCTTAGAAGCTGGTTGATCATTTTCTGAAGTATTCAAACACATTCAGTGGTGTTGAGGTCTGGACTCTGGGGTGGTCAGTCCATCGTTCAGCTTCTTTGTTTGATGTGTCCGTCTCCTTTTCTCAGTGAGGTTCTTCTTGAACAGCTACACATCCTTTCAGACCCACAGCGCTGAGTCGTCTTCTCACAGTGGAAGGATGGACAGAAACACCTGTGGATGTTTTCAGATCTGAAGCAGCTTGATTTTCTCCTCTCTCTCAGAGATGAAAGCTTTAAGTGCTGTTTATCTGATGGGGGCAGTTTTGGGGTCGACCAGCTCTTCCAGATGGTTGTTAGAAATCCCAATTTCTCCATAGCTTTTAATCTTTTTTGGAAACTCCTTTTTTCCGCTAATTGTTCCTTGTGACTTTCTCCTTCCTTATACATTCCTTTTTATTCCTTATATCTAATCTGCTCAGAAAGATCTCCTAAAAATGAATGACTTGTACTTGATGGTTGCATTGACAGGAATTTTAAAAAATGAAGGGTGGTCTCGGACTTTTGCACAGTACTGTTTTACATAGGGGGCATATTATTACATATATGACTTATACATGTACAATCCAACATGGAACATATAAAAGACTTCATGTCCTTACAAGGTATAAAAACAAACCATATGTGTGAGTGTGTGTTAAGGCAGATAAAATCTGCAATTCTAATAGCTTCCTGATAAAGACCCTTGTTGTGTTCTCTTTGACAGCGGAGGAAGCTGATGTCTTAAATTCAAATAAGTAGCACTGGGGAATTTGAGAGTGAAGGGGAGAGCGAGAGAGGGAGGGAGGGAGAGAGAGAGAGAGAGGGAGAGCAGCTTCTGTGCTGAAGCTTTCTTAGAAAGACAAATGAGCGAGAAAATGAGGGCGAAAGATTTTAGTGATGGAGAGAATGACAGACAGGGAGAAGTGATCTGTTTTACATGGCACAAATGCAGTCTTAGCATTACAGTTACTATTAATAGTAGAATTATAACTCTTACTATGATTATCACTGTGTTAGCAATTGCTCTGGTAAAACTCACGTTAACAAAGGATCAAACCACTTTTGGAGCCACAACATTTTAGATCCATTTTACCATCTCGGCTGTAAATCTGTCTCGGTATGTGCTAAATGTACTAGTATAGACTAAAAAATATAATATAAAAAAAACTTACTTACTTTTGAAAAGACTTACTTTGCTCTGCTTTAAGCTTTAGCTCAGATATAGCTGCTTTTCTCGCATCTCCAGCAGGAAACTTTCCCGCAAAAGTAGAACAGTTTCTTGTAAAACGTCTCTCAACTTTCGATTTTTTACGAGGCTGAAGTCGCTTCTCGTTCGCCAGCTTCTTGTTCAAATTTTCCCGTTCCACCTTAAATGGTGCCTGAGGTGTCAGAATGTAACTGCTGCACCATTTAAGGTGGAACGGGAGAATTGGAACAAGAAGCTTGTGAATGAGAAAATGACTTCAGCCTCGCGACTTTTTAGTGTTTCAGTTTCTCGTTGCAGATTAAACGTATCAGGAAACCAGCTGGAGTGATTATAAACACAAATAAGTCCATTCATCTCTAAATTATCGATGTTCATCTTAAATCTCTCTCTTTGCCATTTCGTTAGCGTCTAGTCTAGGCGAGACTGTTGTCTGTGTTGCTATGGTGACCAGCAGTCTGCGCTGATCTTCAGGGTTAAAGGGTGAATCAGCAGTTCTACATTAACTCCAGAGTTTAAGACCATTTATTGTTAAACTGTGTTGAACGATCAGCAGAGCTTTATTTTACTGTAAAGGAGGATTATTTTATTTTTACCTACAAATCTGATTCTGCTGTGGAGCCACAACAGGACAGTAAAAGAACCACAGGTTGCCGATTCCTGATCTACATGAACTGCAGCCTTGCTCTGGAGCCCCCTAGTGGCCACTCTGCCAGTGCAATGGAAATTGACTCAGATGTTTTTAAGAAATACGATTAAATAAACTTTTTGTGATGTAACTCTGTTACCAGATGAACTCTGTTGTCTGTGTGTGTGAAATGTTGTGACTATGTTGAGCTTCTAGTGAGCAATGAGGGGTGTAGAACGAGGAGTAAGAACCCCCTGCTGTGAAAAACAGACAACTGCAGCTTTCCTCATATCAAACAATCCTGTACAACTGACATAACAAACAAACAGCTTTAAAACACAATAAACACACTTTTAGAAATGTTTAGATTTTTCTCAGCATAATTAAGTGGTTAAGATGTAAACAGAGTCGTTCAGAGTGGTTTGGTGTGAAACGCTCTGTTCTAGAGAAACTTAGTCAGAACTGTTCACAGTGGTGGTGATAGGAACCAGACGTCCACCTCTAAAAGCTCCCTCACAGAAAGTTACTGCATGAAATGGTTATGAATTCACTGCCTGATGACTGAGACACTGTTTTATGATAGTTTTGAGACAGCTTTGGTCTTTTTTAAATGCATTCGTGCATCAACATTCCATATAAACTCAGAAGACTCCTGCAGGTTCACTGGCGGTTTGGGATAGTAAATAAAATGTCTATATTTTTGCGGGAAAATACAATTTTGCTCATATTTTAGTTCATGTTTATAGTTCATGTTCCCACAGTGTCTCAGAAACCATGTATTTAAGTCTAACTGAGATTCCACTCCACACAGTTTGAGGCAAGTGAGGCATGTAGTTAGCACCATGCTAAGTTAGCACTGTGCTAATTGGTGAGGTATAAGCTTCTATTACACTTGTAAACCACATTAACCTTGGCTGGTCATTCTGGGGTAAGTTGGGGGGGGAGGGGGGGGGGCACCGAATTGTACGAATCCTCCTCCTGATTCCTGTCGGCTCTGTTGCTGTTTGGCCCAGTTTGGCTGGAATAATAAGAGAGCAGCCGTGCGCCCACATTCAGTCAGAGACAGCAGGCAGGAGAGCAGACCATCTGCATCAGTGTCTCTGAGGGACTTCACCTGGCTCTGAGTGTCTGAGAGTGGGGGGGGTACCTTTACTCCAGGTGGTCTGGGTATGCCCACGAAAAGATGATCCAGAAAGTTGGCGCTCCGGCCCAGTCCGAGCACAGTGTAGGGCAGCTGGAGAGAGAGATGGGCGGACTGACTCAACTGACCAGCTGCAGAGAGAGAGAGAGAGAGAGAGAGAGAGATATCAATAATCAATACTGATCTCTCTCTATTCCCATTTTATGTGTTTATTTCATTCTCCTACTCATGTTTGTGTTAATTGCTTTGTCAATAAAATAACACGTAGTATTCGTGTCAATAAAGCACTGCTGAGGTGAACTGAGAGAGAGAGAAGAGGGAAGGAGGGAGAGAAAGAAAGATGGAACAGAAAGAAGGAGAGACTGAAAGAGAGAGGGATAGGAGAAAGACAGTGAGAGAGGCAGGGGTGTGGAAGACAGAAGAGGATCTTTGAATGAAGGAGCAAAGGAGAGGAGAGGAGCGAGGGAGGAGAGTCACAGACGATGGAGGTGAGAGAAGGAAGAAATGAGAGGAGAGAGCAGAGAACGAGACACGAAAGGAAGAAAGTGAAAAAGACAGAGAGACAGGCAACAAGAGGCAAATTAGGAGAAGGAGGGAAGAAAACAGATGGAAGAGAGTAAAGGGTAAATGAGAGGAGGTAGAGAGAGGAGAGAGGAGGGAGGAGGAGAGGGGAGGGGGAGAGAGAGATAAAGAGAGAAAGCGATAGAGGGAGAGAAAGAGAGATGAAGTTAGGAGGGAAGGGGAGGGGAGAGGGGGAGAGAGGGAGAGAGATAGAGAAACAGAGAGAAAGAGAGATGGAGAAAGAGGGGGAAGGAGAGGGGGAGAGAGAGAGGGCGATAGAGAGAAAGAAAGAGATGAAGAAAGGGGGAGGGGGAGAGAGAAAGAGAGAGAGGGAGAGAAAGCGAGGTGGAGAACGGGGGGAGAGGAGAATGGAGAGAAAGCGATAGAGAAAGAGGGAGAGAGAGAGGGAGAGAGAGAGAAAGCGATAGAGAAAGAGATGGAGAGAGAGAGAGAGAAAGCGATGGAGAAAGAGGGGGAGAGAGAGGGAGAGAGAGGGAGAGAGAGAGAGAGAGGGAGAGAGAAATGGGAGGAGGTAGAGAGAGGATAGAGGAGGAGAGGGGAGGGGGAGAAAGAAATAGAGAAAGAAATAGAGAGAGAAAGCGATGGAGAAAGGGGGGGGAGGTAGGGAGAGGGAGAGGGAGAGAGAGAGAGAGAGAGAGAGAGAGAGAGACACACCATTAGAGTTGTGCAGGCCCATAAACAGACCCATCTGTGTGTGTAAGAGTCGTGCTCTAAAAACCCCTCATACACACACACACACACACACACACACACACACACACACACCTACACACACACACACACACACACTCACACTCTCTAAATGACTGGATGTGGGTCTAAAAGCCTGCAGCAGCCCCGCAGACCTGCGCTCGCCCTCACTCTCTCACTGCTGTATCTGAGTGTTATTTCCACTGTGTTTCTGTATGTGTGACCACATTAACCACTGCAGCTAAACGCTGCTGTGCTGACACCTCACAGTAACCTTAGCAACAAACGCAAATCTGCTCTCACTCTTTACTGAGTTTCAGCCATATTTATATAAACTGCCTTAATCTTTATGAAGGGCAGCTCAGACCTCTCCATGTTTCACACACTCTCTCAAGGACACGCGCCACCAGAAAGAGAGTAAAACCGAGTATACACGTTATACAAACACTACACGCTAAACACATTCAGACGTTTAGACACATAAACTGTATGCAACACTGTGCAAAAGTTTTAGACACCTGAGCACATCATTTGAAGCCATTTATATTACATCACACCTACAGAAAAATCCATAGGCATTAATATGGAGTTGGTCCCTCTTTGCAGCTACAACAGCTTCCACTCTTCTGGGAAGCTTCTACAAGATGTTGGAGAGTCTGTGAGAATTTCTGTCCATTCATCCAGAAGAGCATTTGAGAGGTCAGACACTGATGCTGGACGTAAGGGCCTGGCTAACAATCTCCGTTCTAGTTCATCCCAAAGGTGTGTGATGGGGTTGAGGTCAGGGCTCTGTGAGGGCCAGTCAAGTTCTTCCACACCAAACTCACCCAGTCAGGCCTTTATGGAGCTGCTTTGTGCACTGGGGCTCAGTCATGCTGGAACAGGAAAGGTTCTTCCCCAAACTGTTCCCACAAAATTGGAAGTGTACAGTTGTCCTAAATGTCTTGTTCTGCTGAAGCATTAAGATTCCCCATCGCTGGAACTAAGGGTTCTAGACCAACCCCTGAAAAACAGCCCCATATCATCATCCCTCCTCCACCAAACTCTACAGCTGGCACAGTGCAGTCAGGCAGGTAACGTTTTCTGGGCAAATCAAGGCTTACTGACCAGATAAAGAGCTTTTAAAGCGTAAATTTCTCAGGTGCCTAAAACATTTGCATTGTACTCCATATATCATCTTAATCAGAGGGTCCCAACCACCGGGTCACAGACTGGTACCGGGCCACGGACCATGTGACACCAGGCTGCAACAATGCGGCAGTGAGCAGGAGGGAAGTTAGAAGCCTTACCGATGAAATATACTATTCAAATATCATTAAAGAACGTTATTCTAATACAATGCGCTTCCATTTAAAATGTTCATTAAGTAATTTAAAATTATTTTTCAAATGTTATTGAAAAATTGCTGTGTACTACATCTCTGCATGGCCTTGTACGTGCATGTAGGTTACTACTGGCTGCTTTCAGCTGATAGTTTAAGTGAAGAAGAAGAAAAACAGGCATTATTTACTCAAAAATATGACAACAGCTACATAAAATACATAATTATCGTCAATGGGGATGCTAATATGTCAAAACTATTGTGTCGTATGGGAAGACAAACTAGCAAATAAGGCTATGAACCTGTTACTTCCAGTTACTTCACCCTTTGGAGAACATTCCTTGACACCATGCCTCAAAACTTGGTAAACATAGACAATATTTGTATATGATTCAATAAACACAGAACTGGAATGCTGAACCACTGTGATGAGTTTCTGAGTAAGTAAGAGCCCAAACTGTCCAGACTGCTTACAGGGTTTGTGGGTTTATTAGTGGCTGTTCACCCTGAATAACGATGTGCGCTACTGATACACGCTCATGATTTACTAACACGCTGAGCAACGTCGTAAAAACATCCGGTAGCCCCATAAAATGTTATGTAGTGTAATTAGAGTGGAATCCCTTAATTAAATTTTTGCATAATTCATTTTTTTAGATGTAAACAAAGTCGTTCAGAGTGGTTTAGAGTGAAGTGCTCCGTTCTGGAGAAACTAGAGTCAGAATTGTTTACAGTGGTGGTGATAGGAACCAGACGTCTGAAGGGTTTAACTCCTCTACAGCAGTCTCTCTATCCTGGTCCTGAAGAGCTACTTTCCTACAGAGTTCAGCTCCAACCTGTGTCCAGTAAACTGTCCTGCCCATTACTTAACTCGTGTACACCTGATTCAGCCAATCAGGGACTTAGGAAGAGGTTGATTAGCTGGAGCTGGTGTGGTTGGAACTAAGCTCTGTGGGAAGGTAGCTGTCCAGGACCAGGACTGGAGGCTCCTGGATATGGGCTGTGTCAGCAGATCTTCATGATGTACTGCATCCTAAAACGCAACACGGCTGTTTTGGGAGGACGTAACCACCGATGTGACCGCCTGGTTTGCTCCAAACAGTTTAATAGCCCCAGATTCAGCCTTTTATGGATACATAAATTACATAAAAGGAAATAATTTGTCCTGCTGCTGCTTTCTCTGCCGGTCTTGAGGTGAGTTTGCTGACTTTGTCTACTTACTGCGCAGACAATGCAATTAAAACAGTAACTCAATAAAGAAAAACAAAGTAACTCAATAAACTGTAACTTCATTACAGAAGCATAAAGTCCAGAACCAGCCGGTTCTGAGACAGTCCGGGCCATCAGGCTGCTGAACAGCCAGTAGTGCTGGTGTATCGGTCTATAGGCCTGTCACTGCACCTCTGAGTCATCATCATGATGATCTCCATGGACAATCCAAACCTCATGCACACCTCAAACAGACTCACTCTGATCTTACTGCACCTTCAGCCCAGCAAATCTATACTCTACAGTTCTATACACATATAGACTGACATCTTGTACATCTTCTATCCATATATATAAGGTTCCTATCACCACCACTGTAAAGAAATCTGAACCATTTCACACCAAACCACTTTGAATCACTCTGATTACACCTCAAACACTGAATTATGCAGAAGTACTGAAAAATCAGTGAGGTTTCCCCCTTAAATTTTTGGTATATTTCTTTTTGTATATTTATAATGTATAATTCTAGTTGTATATATATACCTGTATATAGTTTCTTTCGTATATATTCTTCTTTTTACATTGTATAACCCTTATTATTATAACTGCCCTGTGATGTGAGACTACTACTGGCTGTTACATTTCCTTTGGGATCAATAAAGTCTCTGTCTGTCTGTCTGTCTGTCAATCTGTCTGTTTTGTCTATCTATCTATAGTCTGTGTTTATAGATAACAGTGTATACAGTGTCACAAACTTCATATTCAAGTCTTTTTGAGACAAGTGTGACAATTGCCAGAGGCGGGAACAAGTCACTAAGTTGTCCCGAGTCAAGACAGTCGCGTCTCAATTCAAGTCCCGAGTCAGTGAGTGAGCCCTAAACAAGTCAGTCGGCACTCATAACACTGACTTTCATGACAGCACATTAGCAGTGTATGGCTGTATATTAATTTATTATTGAAAAGAATTTTTAAAATACTACTGAAAAAAGTAAACTTTATATTTGAAGACTTGATTTTTGGGGCACAGAGGATTAAAATAAAAACTAGCTCAGCACTAAAACTAGTTCAGCCAACTAAAAACAACCAATAGGTCAAACTGAATTTAAACTTTCTCGATTTCTTGAGTCGAATCTAAAGTCATCGAATTTGTGATTCGAGTACGACTCGAGTCAAAGTCATACGACTCGATGCCACACCTGCTTTCCTAATTAGTGGGGCATTAGCTTCTATTAGCTTTTAGCTACATTAGCCTCATCGCTCCAGTGCCAAATTAAAGAAGCAAACTTCAGACTCCAAACATGCCTGACTGAACGCATTTAGGCTGAG